TCCCTGACGCACTGCTGCAGCCACACGCGATCTCTGCATCTCTGCAACAGCAGGTCAAGGTGGGCTTGAACATGCCGGGTGTGCTGGAGGCGCTGGACCCGAAGAGGCTTGTGCCTAGGGGTTTCAGACACGCTTCGCCACCGGGTTGGGTGTGCTTCCCGCAAGAGCTCATTCTTCATACCAAGCTCACCATAAGGCTGCATCAAACTACTTTCGAAGGACTGAGTTTCCTGCCACCGCCACCGCCTCCGAAGAGGGAGCCGCCGCCACCGCCTCTCCGGAANNTGCGCTCTCTGACTGCGAAGCACCCGGTCACCATGTGCCATGTCAGCACGTGCATGGACTTGAGTTTGATCTCAAAGGCCCCAGTGTCTAGGTTTGTTTCACTGTTCTGCACCCGGACTCTAAATTGCAGAATCGTGCCCACTTCGGGGGGGCCTGCTGCCAGAGAGCTGCCGAACAAGCTTCCACCGGAGGTCCTCAGCCCAACAACTTAAAACTAAACTTCTTAGACATCCTATGGTCTCGCACTCTGATAGGATCCTTTGTATGGCTTTCTGAGGCTTCTGCCCATCACTAGAGAGCCCTGCAGCTCCACCTGGTACTCATGGCTTGCATCAGGAGGAATACGTAGACAAAACTGCAGCTTGTTCCAAGGTGGGCTTGCACATGCCGGATAGACCCGAGGTGGTGGAGCCAAACAGGCTAGCACCTGAGACTACGAACATGATGCAGTTCGCTCCGATCTATGTTTCCTGCTTCAGGGTCGACGGCATGTGGAAACACAGGGGAACAATGTCACTCAGGCACGAACCACTGCTAGTGCCCTTTCTCGATGGTGTGAGGAAATGCACACTCTCCCGGATGGTCTTACCCCGGCTGGGCAGATGCATCAGCACCCGATAACGTACGCTGAGACTCTGCAATCCTGGAAAAATAGCAACGATGGACGCGTGCGTTTCGAATCTAGGAGAGCTCTCGCAGACCTGCCCATGTTCCCTCAAGGTGTGGTCAGTGTGCCGTCTGATCCATCCATATCTTTCATGTTCGCAAAAAGGAATAAGCATTGTATCCCAAAAGCTTTTCGCCGACATTTCAGCCTTAAGCGGAGCAGGGTAAACACCCTTTAACCAGAAAAAGACGAGGTAGTGCCAAGACTTGCTACAGAAGCTGTGATGCAAGAACTCGTGTGTTCAGCTTTCGGCTCGCACATAAATTAAATAAATCTTGCAAGCCTACCGACTACTCCATGAACCAAGAACCCACCTCCTCAACTTATTCCACTGACAAGGTTGCAAAACCCTGACATAATCGAACATTGCTAGCCAAGTTTGCCACCGATGCGCGGAAAACCAATAGATTTAGTCTTGGCCTGATGTCGGGACGATTCCGGACCAGATTGGTCTTCGGGTACGTGATTACAATCCCATGTTGTACATCAAGCCTTTCCGAAAACAGGGCCAGACTTACAAACCCATCTCGTAAAAAATAAGAGTCAAATATGGCCGTCGCATGGTTCTTCAAATGCCTCTGCACAGCAGCTGCAACGTCTGACACCAGCCCTGTCAGCCTGTTGCGGGCGCACCGCCGAAGAGGCTGCCAGCAGCCCTCGGTGCTGCGGGCAGCCAGATCAGTCTCAGAGCTGCACTGCTGTGGTCACGTACAGCCTGCGGCCCGGGGTTGCCACCCGCCCGCAGGCAACGCTCCGCTGGATGCACCTGATGCCGATTTCGTAAAGCTCTGATGGCACTGAAACCTCCTGCAAAAGCAGAACCGCGTCGATATGACAAGCGTGCCAGCTACACTTGGCGCGCTGGAGCCAAAGATGCCCACACCTCAGCTGAAATTAACAACGCTATCCCGGTGTCAGGTGCACCTGCCAGACTGATAAGTCCGTCAAGCAGCATGACACAGAACAATCCCTGGTGGCTAGGCCCCCAACCGCCGCCGCTGCTGCTGCTACTGCTTCCGCCGAAAAGCGACGCTCCTGCCCAAGCTCAACGAACCGACTCAGAGTATGTTCCGTACGCAGAGGCTTGGTTCAACTGTTGGTCTATTGAGTCTATTGTAAGTGTGCCTCCGGCTGGTGCACCGAACAAGCTGCCGGCACCCGACCTGACAGGAACACAGACCGATCAACGATCATCAATGAACCATCCATGAAGCAGAGCACTTCGTGATCCTATGGTGCTACAGTCCCCACTGCATCAAAGCCGTGAGCCGCATGCACAGTGAAGTGACAGTGCAAACCTGTGGGCCCGACCCAGTGCCAGCGCCTGGCAGACAGAACCCAGACTCTTCGGCTGTGAGCAGAACCAGAAAATGAATGAAGCGAGCTGGAAGCGCTTGATCCGAAAATGCTTGCACCTGGCTGGTCACACTGACAAGATCACAGACCCATCCGAACAACAACGAACAGAACCTGTGCCTCCGCTGCTTCCGCCAAAGGGTGAACCGCCTCGTGTCAATGGCAACAGAGTTGCTACAGCCGGCACACAGCCACCTCTGAATCTTCCAGTCGAGCCTGTTGCTCCGAACATGTCTGGCTGCAGTGGCCAGAATCAGAAGTCCCAGAAGCGGAATAACTAAGCTGAATGGTGCATGTGTCGTTGAGTTGCTACTGGTCACGATCACCATGACCAGGGAGTCGTACCGTCCCGAGTTTTCAATACAAGAAATGACCTAACCATGCAGCTGACAACGCAGTCTACGTGGGATGATGTGTCGCTCACGCCGCACGCAACTGCATCATAAATGCGACGGCGGTTGCAGTGAGACGGCCACGCGACGTAGTGACGATGGCATATGTAAGTGCAAGAATAAAACCCGACCACCACAACCACAATGGAACAACA